TACACTTCACATAATAGTATGTGAAGGCACTTACCAGCCTGTTTCAGAATTATGTACGGTAAGTATTCTCCTTCTTGGACATCATTTAGAGACAAAGATTTAGCATATAGTGTTTGATGAAAGAGTTGCATTCTCATTTTTACATGATCTTGCTTTCATCTCATCACACATGTATGCCTTATAGGATCCAAGGATGAATTTTCCTTTCTTGGCTTGCAACAACAATACTCACAGAGATACACAAATTAGACACATAAATATATACACATATCACACACAGACATATTACATAGACAACATACATACACATGATATGCAGATATGGGAAAAAAGAAAAAGAAAAAAATAATCATTAGCTCAAAATAGATATATGAAAATTTTAAAAAGGGTATTTTAGAAATTTGCAAAGTATAGTATATTACACTGCCAATTCTAAATACCCAAAGATTTTTTTTACATAGCCAGAATTGTCTGTTGTGTTTAAATTCTCTGAAAAATTTAGTGAGGCACATTGACTAGATTTCAGAATATTATTTTAAGCTCAAATTTGAAATCAGTATATTCAGACAAGGTCCTGTGTCATCATTAACCTAGTCAAGGCCTCTAGAAAGTACTTTTACTTTTATCTAAAATCAATTTACCTGCGTCAGATTATGCTTCAGTCCAAAATAAAGGTAATACAATTTTAGTCTCACTGTGATACTGGTAAGAATCTGCAATGACATACAACAACAAAATGAGCGTTCAAAATCTCTCTCTTCTTAGAGTCATCACTTAAGTGAGCAAGCAACATTGTATCAGACTGTAAAATCTGGGATTATAATGCTGGAGCGATAGCACAGCGGGAAGGGCGTTCGCCTTACACACGGCCAACATGGCCGACCCGAGTTCGATTCCTCCGCCCCTCTCGGAGAGCCCGGCAAGCTACCGAGAGTATTCGATATGCCAGACACAGTAACAACAAAGTCTCCAATGGAGACGTTACTGGGCCCGCTCGAGCAAATCGACGATCAACGGGAGGGCCTTTACCTTTATAATGATAGTACAGCACGGAGGGTGCTTGACTTGCATATGACTTTAATTTCCTCCCCTGCACCACTAATAGCCTCCCCCACAAGCCAGCCAGAAGTGATCCCTCAGCACAGGTCTAAGACTAAATCCTGAGCACTGCTGGGTTTGCCGACCCAACAAGAAAAAACCATCAAGTTTTACAAAACAAAAAATCCAAGAAAAATGTGTAGCCATGCTTAAAAAAATTTAAATGCTGAGTAATTTACTGAACAACTGATCAATCCCAAGGAAACTCAAATGAAAAGAAAGAAAATATCTAGCAATATATTTAAGAAATTGATTTACATGTACATTAAAATTTCATGATACAGCACTGATTTTACTTACATTATTCAATAAGAACACACTATATGTCATTCAATGTTAACAGTGTATTTTCCTAATTTCTGAAGTAAGTTTATGAAAATTTTAAACAAGTAATATATCATTGAATTGCATGAAATACTTCTTATTCTCCTCTACATAGACATAAAGAAAATAAAACATCCATTTAGTTTGATGAAGCTTCTGATCTTATTATATGTGCCATTGAAGAAGATAAAGGGTCAAATACTGAGTTCCAGGGGCAAGAAAGTATAAGAAACGGGAAGATGTTAATCAAAGGGCATATATTTTCAACAATCAAATAAATTAAGTATTAGAGTTTTAATGTATACCATTCATCATGACCAGTTAAAAATTTTATATTGCATGCACGAAATTTAGAGAAATGAGGGTTGGAGAGATAGCACTGAGGGCAGGGATGCAGTCTATGGGGTTCAATCCTGGGTACCCTGTATGGTCCCCAAGCTCCACCAGAGTTGACCTCTGTGTGCAGAGGCAGGTTTAAGTCCTGCATATGGCTGGGTATAGCAGAAGAAGTAAAAAAAAAAAAAGAATACTAACATGATGAGGAATGTGGCTTAATGCTAGAGCAACACTGAGTCATGAATAAAAATAAAGCCCTGGGTTTCCTCCTCCTCAAAACAAAAGATGGCAACTATGTAATGTGATGACTGTTTTTCAATAATTTTGTGGAAGTTATTCACATATATAAAAATATCAAATAGTGAAGCTGTGGGGATTAAGTGATGCTATTAATCAATTTTACAAGCAATAATTAAAAATTGCAACACTTCTAAAACTTAACATGATTACATAATTAAGCACTGGTGACTTTATAACATAGTTGCCTCATATTTCATAAGTTCTAATTCCAGTCTAATTAATCATATAAAACCAAAACATCATAGAAACGCTGTAAAAGCAAAGGATTAAAGCAGCGTAACTTTCCTTCTCATTATGGGATTAGGAACTGCTTCATAAAACACATGACCTTTAGATACTTTTCCTGAATTATGATTTAAATTATAATATTTTAACTTTAAAATGGTGTGAAAGTCATTAAAATAAAGATTGTATTATAGGGGGCTGAAGCAATAGCACAGCAGGTAGGGAGGGCATTTGTCTTACACAGGGCTAACCCAGGTTTGATTCCTAGCATTCCATATAGTCCCCCGAGCACCGCCAGGAGTAACTCCTGAGTGCAAAGCCAGTGAGTAACCTCTGAGCCTTGCTGGGTGTGATCAAAAAAGCAAAAAAAAATGTGTTTTAAAAAAAAGAATTAAGCTACGGTGGGCCTTTTAGGACAATATTAGACAATTAGCAGAGGAAGATTAGAGTAGCATGCAAGTTGCATACATTTTTAATAAATCAAAATTTAGAAAAAAGAACATTAAATTCAAATGAAGAGAAACCAATAGATTGAAAGCCATCTGTGCTTTGAATGTTATATGTACTCATTTGAGATATAGGAGTGTTAAATATTCTAAAGACACAACATAAATTTTTGAATATGATACACTGTACAGGTCTATAATCCATACTGAAATACTTTTGTAGATGAAATTATGATTGGCTATGTCCCAACATGTTTTTAAATATATGTTCCACAATGTTCTCAAATAATTGAAGGAGGTAGTAGCACTGCACTGTAACACTGTCCTCCCGTTGTTCATGGATTTGCTCGAGCGGGCACCAGTAAAGCCTCCATAGTGAGACTTGTTGTTACTGCTTTTGGCATATTGAATACACCATGAAGAGAGCTTGCCAAGCTCTGCCGTGAGTGCGGGATACTCTCAGTAGCTAGTAGGGCTCTCCGAGAGGGACAGAGGAATTGAACCCGGGTCAGCCATGTGCAAGGCATATGCCCTATCCGCTGTGCTATTGCAGAAGAACATAATTATCACCAAACTAAACAATACATTCAAAATAAACATCTTATAGAATTATGAGTTCTTTTCACTCACCTCTAATTTCCAAGTGAGCTTAAGGAAATATTTGAGAAAATATTTTCTTCTAATACATTGCACTCCTGCCAAAACTTAATGGCCATTCATTCCAGCTGCTCCAAACTAGGAATTTTTCTTCCAAAGCAGAAAAAGTACCACAAATCATTATAACTTTTTTCAGAGAATGTAACAGCACCACCTAAAATGCAAAAATATGCAACCTACACAATTCTAAACAGAAAATATTTTTTATATATGAATTGTTTAAATAAAATGACTTTGGCGCGAAAGATAGTATTTTATAAATTAATATGTACTTCAGTAAAGACTCATTTCTAAATTAAAACCCAAGCAACAAAACTGAAAAAGTTCTCTTCTGTAGCTAACAGATCTAAACCCAGATTTTTTGGTCAATCATTAACTATTTAAATGGCAAAGTCTGTCAACTGCCTGAGAAAAATGTCAAGTGGTGCTGAAGATAGGACAGTGGAGAGGGCATTTGCCTGCATGAGGCCCACCCCGGTTCCATCCTCAGCAATGGACTCCAGCATTTCCAGGATTAATTCCTGAGTGCAGAGCTAGGAGTAAACCCTGAACACCCCTGAATATGGTCCAAAAAGCCAAAAAAAAAAAAAACAAAGAAAAATGTCAAGTATAGTGTCTGAAGAAAATAGTACAGTGTATAAGGCTCTTCCTTTGCATGCAGCCAACTAGAGTTTGATCCCTGGCATCCCATATGATTCCTGAGTACAACCAGAAGTGATTCCTGAGTGCAGGGCCAATAGTAGCCCCTGAGCATTGGCAGCTGAGGCACAAACTCTTTTTTTTAAAAAATGACAAGTTTGGCAAGAGTTATAGCATAGTGGGCAGGGCATTTGTCTTGCAAGAAATCAATCCAGGTTAGATCCCTGGAATACCAGATTGTTCCCAACACACTCCTAGTAGTAATTCCTGAGTACAGAGCCAGGAGAAACAGCTGACCTCTGCCAGGTATGCGCCAAAAAATCAAAACAATAAAAAAAATTCAAGTATGACAGAATGCTATGTTGGACATAACCTTACATTGTCAACTATATTTCAAAATGTATTCAAAGATTATATCTTATTATCTCAAACATAAAAACCACCTAGGTCTCAGTGCCCTGTTTTTTTTCCTTTATTAAAGCATCATGAGTAAAAACAATTATTATCAGGGAATGGGATTATCTTGGTAATATACAGCACAAATCCACGATAAATGATTGTTAACTGAGGCAAACATTCAAGAAAAAAAAGTACCTTATATTTGAAATTATTTTAATTAACAAAGTCTGTTAAATAAGTTTCCCATAATACTATGCTTTATAAATCCATTCATTCCATCCCTACTTCATTTCAGATATATAAGGCAGAATAAAATAGAGGGCCAAGTATGAATGTTGGGCTTGACCACATGACAAATTACCAAGATTCCCTTCATCCTTAAAGATTACTAATTAACATAGTCAATGCAGAATGTAAACATAAGAAAGCTGAAATGTTCTAACCATTTTTAATATTTAAAAAAATGATTTAAACGTGAGGGCTGAAAGGCTTAATCTCATCTCTAAAAACAGAAATAAATCAGTCTTTACTTCAAACTCAATGAAAACTATAGTCAAAACACATAGCACAGTATCACAGTTTAATTGCACTATGCATTTATTAACTAATAGTATGCAGTAGGAAGGAGACAGAAAGCTCACAGACACTCTACACAGATTCACAAGTCTCAAAGCGGGAAAAAAGTGACTAAGGAGGATTTCTAGAATTTTAGGGTCTTGGTGGACGCATTCCTGGGGGAGGTGGACCTGGAAAATATAAAGTAAAATACCGTAAGATGACAAAAACAAATATTATGTGGTCAGGACGGCACCAGTAAGTGCTAATGTATCCACTTACCTCTAATTCCTGGTGGTGGGGGTCTCATTCCTGGAGGAGGCATGCCTATTGGTGTTCCTCGAGTAGGGGGAAGTCCAATTGGAGGACCCATAGGTGGTCTCATACCAGGTGGAGGAGCCATAATGCCTACAAATTAAAAATGAGAAACATAAATCCTTATTTCATTAGTCAATAGTAAGTCAATAATAATAGATAAAATTTACAAAAACAGTCACAGACAGCAAAGAGTTGAACATTTTTTTCCTTGATAGCATTTAAGATCCTCAACTCAAGAAAGCCTATGGTTATTCATTATAACCATAATGGTTATAATTTCCAGGTCCTGTGTGATAATCCAGAGACTTGGTGTTTTCTTGCCTTGTATGTGTCAAACTCAGATCTACAGTACTACATATGTTCAGGAGAATCACCAGGAGTGATCCCTGAATATAAAAGGAGGGATTAAGCCCTGAGCAGTGCTAGGTGTAACCCAACACTCCCCCAAAAACCTGCTTCCTGGGATGGAGATTTGTACTGAGGTAAGGCATTTGGCAAGCCAATGCTAGTTCTATGTCAGACTTGTAGGAGTAACTGCAATTCCTGCTTTATCTCGGTCTTTAAGGAACAACTCTAAACACAGAGTTTGAAAGTAATGTGCCCAGTGCATGCTCACAAATACACACAAACACAGGCCTGCCTGCCCACCCTCCCCCAACATCCATCTAAACCATGAGAAACCATATTTCAAAGTCATAGTTATGAATATAGGCTGTCTTAAATCAGAATCTCCTAGGAGTGTTTTGAATTTATTGTGAGTCTGTGGTTACTAAACAATTAATAATGTATCATCATCACTAGTTAGAAAGATGCCATATCTTCATAAACTAATAATTATATCCTATAGAAATTTCTTTCACCTCTTATTCATCAGTTCATTACCTGGAGGTGGAGTTGCTCGGCCCACAGGTGTGGGTGGGGTGCCCCTTCCTGGTGGGTACTGTGTTGGGGCTCCAGCAATACTGGCAGTAGCAGCAACTGCAGCAGCTGCTACAGTGCCTCTTCCCTGTGGAGTCATTACCTGAGAAGGCAAGGTAAGCCACACCCTCACATTTTTCAAATTCAAAAGGTGAATTGCTTTTAAAGTAATAATCCCAAAAATTTTGCACTTTTCCCATCATTATCTTCAAACAATATCTTAGAAACTAACATTCTCAATTACACAAAATTTCTCCTTTTAAGCCCTTTTGCATTTCTTAACTCTGGTCTTGTATTCATAATTCTGTCACTCACAAATGCTAGTGAATTACTCTTAGCTAGTGCACTAAGAATTACCATTCTATTGCCTTCCTATTGTCCACTTATATAATGTATACTTATTCCTCAATTCACAATACAGCATATACTAATGATATTTCAAAGACTGCACATTCAGGCTTTTAATCTAATCAGGCTGTAGGCACATTTTATCATTAGAATAAATCTCTGTGAGTTCCACACCTGTTGGGATGGCCCTCCAACTCCTCGGACAGGGCCAGCTAATCCAGCAGGAGCTTGGGGGATTGGGACACCAGCTGGAACGCCTCTGCCAGCTGCCCTGCCAACCCCAGGGCCTCCTGCAGCTCCAGCAAGTGGAACTCGAGCAATGCCAGTCTGAAAAAGATAAATTGTACCTGAAATCAAATGATTTATCAAGGCTATCCAACTATATGATTCTTAAAAGATCATGACATCCACACCATATTCCACATTATTCAGTTCCTGGAATTTCTTGTATTTAAAAAGTAAAATGGCAAGTGCATCAAAGAGGTAACCTACAGAACTAAATCGACATTTATAAAAATTTAATGCCATTTTTGTTTTGCTTTTTGGGTTATACCCGGCGATGCACAGGGGTTACTCCTGGCAATGCCACTTTGATTACCATACACAGTGGAAATAAATCTGTCAGTACTGACATACCTAAGTTGTACCCAGCCTATAAAGCATACAGAAAACTTTTAATGTACCTAAGTATAGAATGAGATCAAGCGCAAGGCACATTTTTCTTGGAATTGATATACCATCATTGCTGTACCCTGATTTCACAGACATTTTCAATAAGGTAATGTCTTTTTATGTTAGATCCTACATCTTCCTTACATCTTTGGGAGGTGGTCCTTCCACAGTCATGGAAACCAAGTTCTCCCCACGTAACAACACCAAACCCAAAACCCGCTTTTCTTCACGCTCCGGCTGTTTTGCATTCTTTGGCCTATAAAAGAAGTAAATTTTCATAAGATATACAGGAGATAGACATAAAATATACATCATTAACTCTAAATAAATACAATAACTGATGCCAAGTGATTTATGCTCAGTTATTGAGTTGTGAAACAAAAGTACTCACTTGATTTGTGAAGATGAATGAATGGCAATGCTCTTTCCTATCAAACGTCAGTCTTCCAGAATGTTCTGTAGATCTTATTCTATAGCAAAACTAATTTCTTCTTTGAGAAATGCAGATACAAATGACATGGGCAAAATTGAAACCTCAGTGTCCACATTAAGATGGTAAGGGGCTGGAGAGATAGTACCATGGGTAAGGCATTTGACTTGCACACGGCCAACCTGGGTTTGATCCCTGGCACTCTATATGGTCCCTGATTCCTGCCAAGAGTGATACCTGTGCACAAAGTCAGAAGCCTTGAGCACCCCTGAGTGTGTCCAAAAACAAAACAAAAACCAAAAAAAGGTGATAGGGAAATTTTTAAAATTTCATTTCTGGCTTTTTGTGCATAATAATGCCTTCAATCAGTAACACATCACTATGTGGCAAAGCAACTAAAATTATTTTCTAATTTGCTATGATATTTTTGTTTGGGGGCCATACCCAGTAATTGCTCAAGGGTTATTCCTGGCTCTGCACTCAGGATTCACTCTAGGCGGTGCTTGGGAGACCAAATGGGATGTTGGGGACTAAACCTTAGTCAGCAGCATGCAAGGCTAGTGCCCTACCCACTATCTATCTCTCTGGCCCCTAGAAGGAAAATTTTTGAGAACCATTTTCAACTAGAAGTAAGTTTTGAAGATATACAACTAAAATAGAAATAGTAATAGCAAAGTGAGTATATGGTAACATAAATGGGGGACCAAAGGGCTATAATAATGCATGAAAACTCTGGAGGCTCTGACTAGTTGTTGATAGCCACCATCAAAATAGGGCCAGAATAGCACTGTTTCACTAGACCTGAGAATTCAATCTTGAAACTTCAGTATGGTTGTCCAAATATTTCATAAGTAGCCCCCAGTTCCCATGAACACTGGAAGACAGTATCCCCCATGCACACCAAAAAAAGATTGAAAACTAGACACAAATAACAGACACCTATATCTGTATCTCTGGCCTAACCATTTACCATATAACCATAGGGAATACCATAGGAAAGACTATATATACCCAATTCTAATTTCTTCAGTTGAAGCAGCAGAAATTAAAAATCACACATGCACAAAGCTTATGACACCTAGTTACTATAAGTGACAAATTGTCATTCTAGAAACACCAGAGACAAATGCACAACTAAAACATTTACATAAAATCCCCTTATCATTTAGCAATAAAATAAGAACATGACTGAAACTCTAATCAAATGCTTTGTAAATATTAGCAGAGTCGTGCAGCAGGAGCGTGCTCGGCCCACTATTAACATCTTTGAAAATAATTCTCATTTAAAAGTGGGACTTAGTAGTACAGTGGGCAGGGTGTTAGCCTTGCATGCAGCCGACCCGGGTTAGATTCCCAGCATCCCACATGGCTCCCCAAGCACTGCTAGGAGTACTTCCTGAGTGCAAAGCCAGGAGTAACCCCTGAGCACTGCAGCGTGTGACCCAAAAAAGCAATAAATAAATGAATAAATAAATAAAAGTGGGATTTAACAAAAATATTACATTGAAGCATCTACCATTCAAAAATAATCTAGCTTCCTATGCAGGAGGTATACTACAAATAAATGAAAGGAGAAACACAAGTAATATTTAATAAGACATTTTCAAATTTGTTGAGGAAGACAGATTTTATACTATAGCAAAAGTTAAGACATAATGAACCTCGTCCTATACTTAGTTCCTTCCCTTTTCTTTTCATTATATTTTCTAATATATTTTCTAATATATATTTTCTATTTCCAAGTCTGAAAAAAATGTTGGACATATGTTTTCCTCTTTAAAAACAACTTTTAGACAGTATAGTCATTATGGGTAAAGAAAAACATATAGCAAGTTTAGATTCTTTGTACATAGTGCCTTGAAAGTCTTAAACAAAGTTGTCTGAGATACCTGAGAAATAATACAAGAAGTAAAGTGTATTACCAAGCAGTGCATATGTGGTGCCCTGAGCACTGAAAGGTTTTCTCCCTCGAAAGGAGGGTGTCAGAGTGAGAATGCAGGGGTAGGGCAGTGGCCATGCACCCAGGTGACCTGTGTTTGATCCCCTGCACCTCAGATGGTTGCAATCCCTGCCAGAAGTGATCCCCACAGCACTGAGACAGGACTAATCCCTGAACTCAGGTTTGTGGGTGTGCTCCCTACAAAAACAAAGTTTCCGTGAATGTTTTTTGATTTCACAAGTACTGACCAAATACTTTAGAAAAATCAAGAGAATGAAAGTACAGAGCCAAAATGTACCAGTTCCCGTGATCTTGCTAAAATGCCAGTCCAATAGAGACCTATTAAAGAAAGCTCCCAATGTGTCAGAAGGACTGCCCATGTGTTAAGGCAGAGGATCAAAGATGTTATTTTTAAAGAAATTTATGGGATGGGCTATAGTGATAGTACACAGGATAGGGCACTTGCCTTGCACATACATGTCTGACCAGATTAATTTCCAGCATCCCAGGTCCCTGAACATATCAGTAGTGATTTCTGAGTGCAGTTAGGACTAACTCTAAGTACCTTGAGGTATGGACCCAAGTGTAGTCCCTTCCAAAAATAATACTGCTACAGATATAAACCTATAAATAACATTTTCTATTTTTAAATAAACACAATATAACTTGATATTTTGTTCACAATACACGGACTTAGTCTCAGTAAATTATTTATGTACCTAAAACAGTAATATGCATACAATTGCTAAGATTTTGGAAGTTTATGAAAATATTATCACTAGATTGTATCTTCTCCTTTTTTCCCTTTTTTGCACAATTACTTATAATAGCTAAAAATCTGAAAGCAACTGAAGAAACCTCAAATGACTGAATAAAGATGTGTAAAAGAATATAAAATTTGGAGCCAGAGAACTCAAGAGGGTTGATAGATGATTTGAATGCAGAAGGTCCAGGATCTGTCTATAGCACCAGATGATCCCCTCTAAGTAGTAGAGGATGGTACCAAATGTTAAAATTAGGGCTGGAGATACAGTACAATAGGTAAAGCGTTGCTTGCAAATGCCTAACCTGGGTTCAGGCCTGGCAGGCTATTTGCTGCCGAACAGAAGGAGCTGAAGAAAACCTTAGAAGGAAAAATGAAGTATTGGGTGAGCTCACCTATGTGTACTCAATAAAATACAAAATTAGTGAACAAATAAAATACAAAGCTGTGAACACAGATAATAAAAAAAGATCTGTGGTTCTCTGAGGAAAATAGGGTGAGTGAAAAGGTGAGAGGGTAACTCTTCTTTGCAAATATTAGATATTAGGGGAAATTAACTATCATGATTAAAATGATAGCATCATTAATAATATATGCGAGGTTTCCAATAATTAAAGGCTTTCCAAATTACAAGCTTTAGAAGCTTTAGAGGAACATTAATTTATGATGAATTAACTGAATTCATTTTTGTAATAATTTTGTAAATCATGGTGCCTTAATAAAATCTTTTAAATATTCTTAAGCATATCTGTCAGTTCCTATGAACAGAAAACCTAATTTAACAATAATCAAACAGAAAAAATTGTCTGATCTGACTTAGAGGTGAGTCATAAAATGATAGGGCATAATACATCAATCTTATTATATATCCCCACTTCCTTAAGTTACTCTCTATAATAAACTTGAACTATTATTATCAGGTAACTGCATTCCCTCATCCTTCAAGTACCCAAACCCAAGGTTGTCTTACTTGATCTTTCTGAACTCATCACAATCACAGAGGATCAAGTTCATATGCTTGTCAAAAGCCTTGAAAGTGCCAATGAAGATTCGGCCATCCTGCAGGATACATCTCATTCTATAGTCAATATGCTGCAGCATCTTGCTACTCTTTCCCACAGTCTTGAAAAAGGAAAAGATGAGTCAGTCTCTTAACTTACTTTCTTGTGTATCTTCCTCATTTTTAGACTACATTCAACCCATTTCCCTTTGGCAAACTCATCCTCCATTTTCCTTTTATTCAGGACTACTTTTAACTCCTATATGAAACCCTCTAATTTTCAGAATTCTTCCCTGCAGTTTCCTATTGTACTAATTACATCCAAAATAGCCCATATTTACCCTTCAATGTTCTATTATTCTAATTGCTCACATTTCCAGAATTTCAGTTTCTAATTTCACTTTTCTCTAGAACATTTGATCTTATGGACCATTTTCTTGCTAGACACTGAGCTAATTGGTAGGAAATCCATACATTCATAGAAATCTTTACAACTGCTCTGCATGTGACCTGCAAGTCTATTCCTTGCACTACATGGTGCCCTAATCATCTGACCCCTAAGCATACCAGGTATGGACCAATTTAAGATGTCCCCATTTCTCAGTTCCCCCAAAGCCTGTGAAACTTCCATTAGCCAGCTCATACTCGATGTTTCTTGCAGTTATTTTTGTTCCACTAACAATCCTTTTTGAGGATTTTTAATTGTAATAAAGCTCCATTATTTTAATAATGTATACAGAGATACACATATAGTTAGTCTCCAATTACACACTAGCCTCTTGGTTTTTTGAAAGACAGCAGATCATTGCCAGACCTAAAATTTTTCTCAAATCTCAGAAATAAATTCAGCTATTTTAATATCCTTCTATAATAGTTAAAGTCATTTAACAAAAAGGTATTTGTTATTCTGTACCATCTATATAGACTTATTCCTTATTTATGATATTAAAAATCAAAAATACAGAGCAGCAGAGATAATACCGTGGGCAGGGTGCTTGCTTTGCATGCCGCTGTCCCAGGTTCAATCCCTAGCATCCCATATGGTCTGAGTGAACGATTGACTGATTCCTGAGTGCAGAGCCCGAGTGTAGGCATCCCTGAATATTCAAATGTGTGGTACTGTAAAACCAGTATTTTGGGCTCTTCCAGCAGATTCTGACTACCTCCTTTCCCACTACACCCCCCCCCCCCACACACACACAGTATCTTACCATGATTGCTGTTCCACCAATCCAATGTCCACAGTAAAGCTTCAGGATCTTTAAAACCTAAAGGAAGGCTACAGATAAAGGTATGATGCAGGTTCTCCTACAAACAATGCAAGCTGCGTAGAAGCTTCAAACAGTAGATGGATCCTGCAGAGGAAAGTATGATCTAGCTGCACTGCAATCTACCATGTTGAAAACAGGCAGACACTTTTGCATGAAAAGCAATATAATAGGCATAATAATAAGACATCCCCCCTATATATCCATATATATATACCCACCAAAGTCAAATTTCAAATTTCTAGTATCTTATAAACATTTTACATAGTAAAAACTAATAAAACGTAATTTTATGCAAAACTTAAATGGCTCAAAAGGCTTCATTCTAATTTCCAAAATGCTATAATTATCTTCATCATACTTAAGATAATGCCTCATTCTACGGTCTCATGTTCATAGCAAGTAACCTTAACTCAATATTTCACTATCCATAATTTTCTCTATCTGAATTACTGTGTTGATTCAGTTCTTTAACTTTTTCTTATTGTCTAGTCACCTAAACATTTTCAAGCAAAGTCCCTTACCACCCCACACACCAAGCCTTTTTAAGATAATGTTAAGCAAATTTTTTTTTCATTAAGAAGCAATATATGACAGTGGTGGTAAAACTGGTGTTTGGAATATTGAATGTCTGTAACGAATCATCATAATCAACTTTGTAAACCATGATATTTAAATAAAGTGGAAAAAAGAACCAAATGTATAAGATGCACTATTTCAAATGGAGACATAAAATATCTGAATGTTCATCTAGATATAAGCAACTTAGGAGGCAAATAAACATTCTAAAAATGTGACTACTTTCCCCAATGTTTCTTTTAATATGGTGATCAAATGTAGTTAAATCTGGTATAGTTTCAGGGCCAGTGATAGTACAGAGGTTATGGTGTTTGCCTAGCACACAGCCAGCCGGTTCAATCCCTGGCATCTCATATGGCTCATCCAAGCACCTTCAGGGGTAATTCCTGAATGCAGAGTTAGCAGTAACCCCTGAGAATCGCTGAGTGTGACCCAAAAAGCAAAAACATATATCTGGTATAGTGTCTCAACTGCAATTATACCCACTGAAAACTGAAGCCAGACATCTTATTATGACATCTTATTATCTCATTCCTACTTTGGACAAACTGGCAGGCTACCGGATGTAGCCTGCCCACACGGCAGAGTCTGGCAAACTCCCCGGGGCGTACCCAATATGCCAAATACCAGTAACAATGATGGGTCTCATTCTCCTAAGGAGGCTTGAATATAATCTCAGGGCTAGGATGAAGGAGACGTTACTGGGGCCTGCTCAAGGCAATCGATGAATAACAGGATGATTTGTGATTGTGATTTGTGGAAATGAAGCACACCTGAGGATGTGAGTAATCCTAGATAAAGCAAGAACTAAACTTCCCTCCCCAAAAGGGGAAGCATAGATTCCATTATTTTTGAATGAGTACAAATTTTAAATTTTGTTGAGATATAAAGGGAGGTTGGAACACACCCAGTACTTCCAAGGAATGACCCCTGGAAGTGCCTGGGGGAGCATATGTGGTGACAGAATTTGGTTGGGATATTTTTGTGTTTGTTCGGCGGCCATACCCAGATGTGCTCAGAGCTGCATTTAGGGATCATTCCTGTTGGACTCTGGGGACCACAAAGGATGCCAAAGTTCAAATCCAGATCAGCCACATACAAGGCAAGTATTCTATCCAGGCGATAGAATTTAAAACCAGAGACCAGGGATATAAGAAAAATGACTTAACACCTTTGCTACCGCACTTACCCTGGGAGTTTTATTTGATACATCATAATTGGATGACTAAGAGGGCTGAATGTCTTGCATGTAGGAGACTAGGGATGATTCCCTCAGCTTCCTAACCCAGATGTGGCCTAGTGCCTCCCAAGACAACAGTGTCAAACCAAATCACTCATTTAACAATATAAACATCCCTAGTAAAATTGTTCTCCAGTTTTCAGTAGAGAAGATTTGCAAACAACTGATTTTTTGGTGAGGGAGTGCACACCCAGCTGTGTTTAGGACTTAATCCTCGCTATGCACTCAGGGATCAATCCTAGCATGACTCTAGGGACCCTATAGGATACCAAGGATTCAACCTGGGTCAACTGTGTGCAACACAAGCATTCTGTCTACTGTACTACCACCCTGGTCCCACCAGTTAAATTTTGAATTACTTTAGAATGTCAACATGAGATCGCTTAAATATTGGTTATGAGCTATAGTAATATCAAAACATAAAATGTTTTAGAAACACTATGTGTGCCACGTGAAATTCTGACATTAGAAAACATAGTAGTATGAAATGTAAATGTAGTAAGATGTAGAAAATAAAATTACATTTAATTGTCCTCAAAAGGGGCTGGAGATATAGCACAGCGGTAGGGCGTTTGCCTTGCACGCAGCCAACATGGCCGACCCGAGTTCGATTCCTCCGCCCCTCTCAGAGAGCCCGGCAAGCTACCGAGAGTATCTCGCCTGCACGGCAGAGCCTGGGGGAGCATATGTGGCAAGCTACCCGTGATGTATTCGATATGCCAAACACAGTAACAACAAAGTCTCCAATGGAGACATTACTGGGCCCGCTCGAGCAAATCGATAAACAACGGGAAAACAGGACAGTGCCCTCAAAAATACTTTGTTGGGACGGAGTGACAGCACAGCGGGTAGGGCCTTGCATGCGGCCGACCTGGGTTCGATCCCCGGCATCCCATATGGTCCCCCCAGCACCGCCAGGAGTAATTCCTGAGTGCAGAGCCAGGAGTGACTCCTGAGCATTGCTGGGTGACCCAAAAAAACAAAAAAAAATACTTTGTTGTTTTTTGAGCAATACACAGTTGTACTCAAAGCCTACTCCTGGATCTCTGCTCAGAATCACTCCTGTTAGTGCTCAGGGGACTGACTCTGATACTGGGTGATCAAACCTGAGCTATGGCAAGGTTATGGGAAGTACCTTATCCCTTTATTATCTCTTGAGTCACTAACTACATTTTTAAAATTTTTTACAGCACACCTGGCACTATTCAGGACTTACTCCTATGTCTGTGCTAAGAGTTCAATCCTGGTGTATGTGTGCGTGTATGTGTGGGGGGTTCAGGGAACAGTATTGAATGCTGGCAATCGAACTAGGGGTAGCCACATATAATGCTCTATATGCTAAAATGTGACCCCCCCAAAAAAACTTTTAAGAGAACCTGGAAGGTATCAGTTAGTCTAAAACATTCCTGTGGTTTGTATAGTTTATTATGAAAGACACACTCCATAAATTCAATATACTCTTAAGATGCTGATAAAAGTTATAATGGAATTTAATATCTTTCCTCTTTTCACTCTCGGTAGCTTGCCAGGCTCTCCCAGAGGGGCAGAGGAATCGAACTCGGATCGGCCATGTTGGCTGCGTGCAAGGCAAACACCCTAATACTGTGGGCTGGAGCGATAGCACAGCGGTAGGGCATTTGCCTTGCACGCAGCCAACATGGCCGACCCGAGTTCGATTCCTCCACCCCTCTCGGAGAGCCCGGCAAGCTACCGAGAGTATCTCGCCCGCACGGCAGAGCCTGGCAAGCTCCCCGTGACGTGTTCTATATGCCAGACACAGTAACAACAAAGTCTCCAATGGAGACCTTACTGGCCCCACTCGAGCAAATCGATGATCAACGGGAGGGCCTCTTTTCACATGCACTCAACTTATGACTTCAAAAATATAAGGGTGGTATCAAGGGCCTGGATTAAAGTATTGGATCCCATGCTTTTTTGCATATGCAAGAGTCTGGGTTTGACTCCCAAATCACATAGTCCTGCGTAGTGTTAGGACTGGCCCATCCAGAAAAGAATGGCAGCAAGAGTATACCACTATCTGACACCCAGTATGTATGCATGAGCTAATACCATGAAACTGACCTGAAGGGGAGCAAAGGTAGTTGAAATGACAGAATGTATGGTACCTAAGCACTACTAGGTACAACCCTAGTAGTATAGTATCAGTGTACCATGGTATACTTGCCAGGTATTGCTATGTGCAGCCCATGGGCACCTTAGCTGAAAAGATCATTATTTTTAAATTATATGCCAATATTACAAGTAACCTATTTAAATAACCAGACTGAAATTTTCCTCAGACCAAAAAATGTAATTTTTGATCCAATCTCATATGGGTTCATACAGTACTTAATTTAGGTTGCCTATATTTGAGCAGAATTTCCTTTTGGAATCGGCACACCAGGTGGTACTCAAGAGATCATAATCCTGAGGGTGCAGTGCCAAGACTCAAACTGAAAAGCAAGAGGTCTATGCTCTGTATTATCTCTTTAGGCCTGGCAGGATTCTAATAGTCTAAACCCAGAAATATATGTAATGTGTGGTATTATTAGCCATTTCTGTTATTACAGCATTGATAACTGTTGAAATAGGGTACTCGGGGCAGAAAGAGACACCCTGAGGTCAGACACTTCTTTGCATGTGGCTGCTTAGGCTGCAACCCTGGTGTTAATCTTTAATACTACATATCTCCTGAGTACAGATTCAGTCCTCAGATGTGCCAGTGTGACCCCAAAACCCCAAAGTGTAATATAAAACAGGATTTTTCACAATGCACAAAAAGATATGCTTGTAAATTAAGCAATTCATTGAAGCAAAAAGGGAAGAAATTAGGCTGACGTCATAAAGTCGATATAATAGAAATATATTATAGTAATGGTTCCAAGATTCTCTATATTATTAAAGATCACTGAGACTGGACCAATAGTACAGCAGGTAGGACGCTTGCCTTGTACACAGCCAAACAAGATTTGATTCCCCACATTCCATGTGTCCCAAGTGCAGTGAAAGTGACCCCTGAGCACACAGTCTGGATTAAACCCTGAGCTCAGTCAAGTGTGGCCTCCAAACTTAAGAAAATTTTTTTAATTAAAACTACAACTGGTTTGTACATGTGCAAATTTTATGGTATGTAAACAGTATATAAACTTTAAGTTTAAAACTGAAAAATCAGAGATTTCAAATAATATCTACCACAATAATGTATAAATTCATTAAATAGCTTTTAATGTTGCTGTTGGTACAAAAAGTAACTATTAACTGGACCATAAGTCTCAACATACTACTGATGAGGGGCCAAAAAAAACAGAGTGTAACAACTAACTTCCTTGCCTAGCATGCAGTTGACCTGGATACAATTCCTGGCAACAGGAATTGATGGTCCCCTTGGGACAAAGCCAGGGGCAAGTCCTTAGTACAGTCAGATGAGGGCCCCCCCATCCAATAAAACAAAATAGGGGTAATAGGGATGAGAGCGTACATTGGGCAAGTTATTTGCCTTACATTATAAAAAGATTTAATAGCAATTATTTCCCAATTTTACCACCATTTCAAATGATCTATTCCATTGACTGTTACAGTAAACATAATCTATTAGGACTGCCGAATTAATGAATTCTGTAACTGTAAGAAGCCAATAAATCCACACAAGTATTTCCTTGTATAGTGGGTAGCAATAAAGACACCAGTTACTGTCCATTGTCTATAACTCAAACTGATTGAGTAGATGAGATAAATATACATAAATATATTATAAAATATATATATAAAATTAAACACAATATATCAAAAACACATAAACATGGTTAAATCTTATTAACATATATTATAATTAGCTATTACACTATTATTAATGACATTTATTATTTATTTTCACATTGTTTTATGATTTTATGATCTTATACTTTATATATAAAAGATATCTTTATAAGTAAAAGTGTTCAAAAAAAGGGACAATATTGGGCCTGGTATGATAGTACAGTGAGCAGGGTGTTTGACAGATTCAATTCCAGATACCCCATATGCTCCCCTATGCCCTATTCCAGGAGTGTTTCCTGAGGGAAGAACCAGAAGAAAGTCACTGAGTCCCTGAGCAACTCTGGGTGTGATCCAAAAAAACACAAAAAATAGAAACAACAGATTGTATAGCTTAGAACTCATTCTCTTGGTATAGCTTGGTACAGCTCAATGCTGAAGCTCTGCATGTGAAAGCCAGGGCACACCAAAGACTGCCTAGCACCACTGGGAGAGATCTGGGATTGGCCCCAGACCACTGTAGGGTGAGTCCAATAGTGAAGAAGGAAAAAAATTTCCCCAAATAGAAATAATAAATGAAACAGGATAGAAGCTCATCCACATCTTATTTTACCACACTATAATCATAAACCCTTAAAATGGTACATATAGCTATTATGTTACAGAATGAAAAAATTTAGTTCTATAGTAAAAAACAACAAAATATTTCATGAAGAAAAACAAGAACAGACAAAATATTGCACTGATGAATTACATTAATTTTACATCAGACATTTTAAAAGCAAATAAAACCAAGTCCCAACTGAAAATCCTAAAATTTTCACAGAATCAGAAGTTTTCTTTTATATTGTATAGAGTTTCAAATAAATTAGAGAAATCTAAGGAAAAAAAGGTAAGTTTGTCAAACTTGGTCAGAGCACATAAAACAACTCAGGATGAGAATGGTAAAAGTTTTCATTTAAACATGGTAAAATAGCATACCTTTGAAAAAATGAAGATTTAAAAGAAAATATAAATGGAAAATATTTATCTACTAAATGATGCCATTAAGACTTTAAGAAAAAAATCCTACCTTTAAAATCTTCATTAAAAACCAAACCAAAAAAAGTATTGAGAAACAAAGGATTGGCAATTCTTTATAGTGACCAGCATTCCTCTGATGCCATTATAATACAGTATATTATTTAAGATTCAAAGATTTATACTTTGTAGCCCACAACTGTATCCTAATATTCATCAATAAAATTAAATAGTGAAAACATAAAATTCGTGACAGAAGGGTAGGAAGAAATACACAGGTACAAGAAAAAAGTAAATCATGAATGGATCATTATTTATTAATTGTAAATGATGAGGACTATATAACACATTGAGGAAATGATATACATTTACGTGGAATAAACAAAAATTAAAATTCAATAACATCTTCCAACTACGTTTTTAGAAAAGTAAATGGGACAATTTCAGCTGCACATTATGACTGCTAAATTGTTATACGTGTCTTTGTTTTTTCAATTTTCTTGATTATTACTGACATGCTTAGGCTTTTAATAATTAAAGGGAACGTGGTGCTAAAAGTTTTAAAACTTAACCCCTCAAAAAAGGGATTCATATAATTTTTATTCCCTGACCTAAAAAATAATTACATTTACCAGTACTATTTAGATAAAACTAGCACTTAGAACAATAATAAAACATTTCAATTAAGTAATTTTCTAATTTTCAGTGGTTCTCTTTCTAGATTACAATGTATGAGTTAATGCCTAAGAACTTACAAAAGTATGACTTTTGACTTTTATTCCCTTACATTATGAAATAGCAGGAGATAATAATTTTGTTTCCACTGTCCCTCAAAAAATCAAGATAATAACTTACGAGTGTTTGGTAAAGGACTAGGGCGATGCTCAAAGGGCACATGCTATTCATGTAGCTCAGGTTTTGACCCAAAACACAAAGCTGGATAAAATCTCTGACTAGTACTAAAAGGACATGAAAAGCCAAAAAAAAAAAAAGATAAACAGGGGAGTATTTTCCTCAGAATAATTTTTATCTACTTTAAAACTAAAACCAGGGCTTGTGAGATAATACAAAGAGGAAGAAGGAATTTAATTTGCAAGCAGCCATCTCCAGGGTCAATGCCTGGTATCACATCTGGTTCCCTAAACCCGCCAGGAGTGATCTCTGCACGCAGAGCCAAGAGTAAGCCCTGAGCACAACCAGGTGTGACACAAATGGCAATAAATAAAATAAACAAATTAAATTTTTTTAAAAGTTGGGACTGAAGAGATAGTACAGGGGTTAAGTCACTTGCCTTGCATGTGGCATACTCCAGTCTGATTCCTGGTACTTCATATGATCCCCCGGTATTGTCAGGCATCTGACCACTGAGCAGGGCCAGGAGTAAGCCATGATCACTGCTTTAAGTTGTGACCCTAAAACCAAAAAGATTTAAACCACTGCCCATAAAGATGCTCAATGAATCTGGGCTGAGCAGTTGTACTTCAAAAACAAAGAAAACTTATAGTAGAGATGCAGAAAACACTGATTTGAACCCTAGTTCTGCATATGGTCTCCAGAGCACTGCCAGGAATTCTGATTCACCATGATCAGAATTAGTACAGGATCAGAAGTCCTGAGCACTGTGAGGTATGACCCCAAAACCCAAAATGAAAAAAAGGTTTTAAATAAAACTCATCATATACCTTCTCTTTCTAATCATATATAATATATGTACATATTAAATTATTGATAGAGGGTATTGGCATTCTAACCTAATTTTTTACAATCACAAAAGGTATTTTTCCCAATATTTATGATCTATGGAAAATAATCAGGTGGCATTGTATATACAACATTAAATTTTTTGTTTTTGTGCCATACAAATACTCAGAGCTAATTCTTGATTCTGTATGCAGGGACACAGTGCTCAGGTGGTCATATGGGGTTCTGGGAATCAAACCCACCACCTCTTTATGCAAGGCAAACACACGATCACCGTACTATCTCTCTGACTCCCAAATCCTGACATTTATAACATCATGGATAGACTTTGAGGGCATTATGTTAAGGAAATAAATCAGAGGAAAATACATTATTATCTCACGTCAATACGAAATATTAACCAAAAAGTTCATAGAGGGAATAGATTGGTGTTTGCCAGAGGCAGAGGGTAGATGAAATGGAGAAAAGGAGTCAAAATATAAAAACTTCCACGTAGGGGCTGGAGTGACAGTAAAGCAGAAGAGGATGCTTGTAGCACCACACAGCTCACCCAAGTCCAATCCCCAGTACCCCTGAGAACCACCGGGAGTAATTCCTGAGAACAGTACCAGGAATTACCCCTGAGCATTGACAGGTGTGAGCCATTCCACTGACAAAAAAAAATTGAAGTTAAAAAATAAATATAGCAAAGAGGTGTAATGTAGAACATGACAACTATAGTAGTTAAAACTATTACATATTTGAAAGTTGCTAAGATAATCTTAATAGTTCTTATCAGAAGGGAAAAAGCCATCTATGATGACAGATGTCAACTACACTTCTGATTATCATTCTTCAATATTCAGAAGTATCATTATATTGTACACTTGAAACTAATAGGTCAATTATACCTCATTAAAGTCACAAAGGGAAAACAAAACCAAAATCAACAGCTTTTTTCCTTAAAATGTAGTAAGTTTGGTGACAGGAGTTTTGTGCACTGGTGAAGTTATGGGTGTTAGAACATTTTATGATCGAAACTCAATCATAAACAACTTTGCAGCAGTGTATCTCATGGTGATTCAATTATTTTTTTAATGTAAGAAAAAACTTAAATCTATATCACACTGAATAAATCATGAATACTACCTTTATTATATTATCAACTGATTTCTTAAATATTTAGTCTATTAAATGTGATATGTATTTATAATTCAGTAGATACAAATAGCACACATTTAAAATGGCCAATGTTGAAGAAGATATGATTTGGAAATTTTTGAAGGCATTAAAGCAATATATTTCATAAAGCAACTGGAAAATATGCCTTTTACGTACCTAAATTCAATTTATTTTTGCACCTGCACTTCTGAAGAATTTATCTGATGCTTTACTCAAAGTGATTCCCTGAAATGTTACTCAAACTACCCAGAGAAAAAGTGAGGAATGTTTTTATATGATGGTAATTTGAAATAAAAATGATCAACAAAATGTTAACAAAGTTACCTAAAATATAAAATGCCAAAATTAAAGGAAACTAGTATAGAAGCATGATAAGTATATAGTATGGAAAGAGCATGACAGTCCTGTTTTTACTTTTTTAAATATCTTGCCATAATCTTATTATATAAAGCTTTAAAGAAAAATTATTTTCCAAATTATAGACTTTTAAAATTATTTCATTATTCCTGCTTATAACTGCATCCGATCTAACCTGACTTTTCGCTTGGAATCAGCTACCTTGATGTTCCAACAATGCTTTAACCACCTCTTGGTGTCTCAGCTAAGAATGCCTGCCTCAGTTCTGCTTGGAAGTCCACCACAGGTACTTGTTGCTGTTGAGATCGCCTTGGGTACAGCTGACACCTGTGTCAAAAGCACAACATGAAGAATAATGCATTTTAAGAATATGGAATAAATAAAAGACACCTTGCATTTTAAAAAATTCTCCTTTAGGATTAGTTTATGCATGTCATTATGTATGAAGAAACTATAAAACAGGAATAGGGAATTCAAGACTTTCTATATTTATTTGCCCACTTTGGATAACTATTGAGGAACTTAAATATCAAAATCCCCTTGCATCTGGAAACAATACCCAAAAAACAGGGACCACAGTGAAATATGCCAATTTAGACAGTAATGTCACCCATGCTCTTTTGCTGTTAAACATCTCTACCTCAAAAAAGTACTTCTGGAAGAGAAAACTTAATTACTCTCTCAGAGCTTCCATAATCTGATCATCCATCAATAAACAGAAAATTTTCAGGGGAAACTGCGCATAATAAACTACTGGATTAGAAATATGAATATAATCACATATAAAATTATTGAACAGTTGGATTTGGAAAGGAGACTGACATGGTCAGAGCAACAGTACAGCAAAGAGGGTGACTGCCTTGTAAGCAGCAAGCCTGGGTTCAATTTCCAGCATCCCACTTGGTCCCTCAAGTCTAGTCAGTAGTGATCCCTGAGTGCAGACCACGGAGTAATAAGACCTGAACACTTCCAGGTCTGGCCCAAACTCCCTTACCCAATAAAAGGTACTCTGGATTTCCCATTTATTTCTTTTGGTGGAAGAGCACAAACCATGATGTCCAGGAGTTATTCTAAGTTTGCTATTTTCAGGTCACTGTAAGCAGTGCTTGAGGACCATGTAGTATGGAATGTAGAATCTCAGGCTTTCCATTTGCAAAGCATTTTAAGATACCGAACGTACCTTTATTATTTATAATAACTAAGAAATGCTATCAACCCAAACATCCTTCAGCACGTTAATGATAAATGTAATTATGTTATTACATAACCCATTTTCTGCACTTTGAAAAAGGTTTGTATGTACTGACATGGAAAGATACCCAAGGCATACTGTTCTGGAAAAATAAATTCCATGTACAAAAACCAACAATTATAACCATGCCTCTCTTCCACTGGGTTTTTGTGTGCATGCACCAATAAAGACTGAAAAGATAGAAAAAAATGGATTAATACACTATTTTTTTTAAAATACATTAAACATTAAGTAAACCTAAAAACATAAATCAACATATTTTCAATGACAAAACATTTTGCAAGCCATTAAGTGACTTACTAACAAAGCAGCAATAAAAAACCTTGATAATAAAGGTTATCATTAATAAAAATAAATGTGATGGATATAAAATTTTATAAAGACTAACCTGCTTACATATGTGGGGATATTGGGAAGCAAATATTACTAATATTTGTAACAAATATTACAAATATTACTAAATTTTATAAAGTTGTATCAGACTAGAATAACACAATTAAAGTGGTTCGCTTTTTTTACTAGATCTGTTTCTTTAATGTGCTGATTTGCTAATTTTAATATGTTTAATTCACTAATTTCAAACTCCTCACTGTATAACACTTCCAATTTTACAGACTGAACTCACTCTTGATTGCTCAGAGAGGCTGTCCTTCTACGTTTGACCTGGACTTCCACCTCAGGTACGTGCTGTTCCGTAGTCCGTCTCAGGTGTAAGCGGTCCCTGAAACAGAAATAAATTTGCTTTATATGACAATGAATTTATAAAGTAACCACTTATTAACAGCATAAAATTTATTTAATATTTATACAATTAGGTTGTTATGAGGTTCATAATCTAATTTAAACAAATCTAAATATTGAACTTTTTTAGACTCTAGTAGAGATCTATCCTAAATATTATATAGATATTATGCAGATAGTACAGAGGGTGATGCATTCAGTTCCATTAGTTAATATATTACAGCATTTCAATTTTATATTTCAAAAAAAGAAATGTGCACCACTGGTTGCGGTTGTCCACCAAAAAAAAAAAATACACCTCTCTACCTTTAAAGAAAAAATTAGGGGGAAAACACCAGAAAAATAAAAAAAATAAAAATTTATAATATTCACATTTATATATTAAAATTTATTGATAGCTACATATATATACTAGTATACTTACTCATACATATGCAAGCCCTGAAGAAATAGCAAATTAATTCCAATAAACTAAAAATAATTAGGATGTAACTGAAAGCAGTTAGGATGTCTTTGTTAAAGCATTAAATTTAAATTATGAAACATTTACTTAAGCAATCTCCTGTGCTGATGTTACTACTTTAGAATTTGCAAAAGAAACACAAAGGATATAAGCAAATAGCAAAACCTCACAGATATCACCATACTATACCCTATAGAACAGTTTACAAAAATGTTATCTGCTCAAATGAAACCAATATAGTCAATCCCTTTCTTGGATCTCCATGTTAGGAATTACTAATAAAATTGAAACACTAAACTATTAAACCAGATAGAAGGAAAGATTTTACAAAATTTATTCAAATTTATATTTCACAGGAATGGGGTCATAAAGATATCACAGAGATTAAGGTATTTGTCTTGCATGTGACCAGTCTTGGTTTGATCTCTGGAACCCCATATAGTTCTGTGGGCAACAGTAGGAGAGACCCCTGAACACAAAGAGAGACAGGAGTAATCCCCAAGCAACACCAAATGGCCAAAAAGTACCCATCAAACTAAACCTAACCAAAGTGTATATGTGTGTGTGTGTGTGTGTGTGTTTCACAGGAAGACTATTCAGAAAACACCCCAAAGCTAATCCTTGAATTCCAATTATTTAAAAAAAAAATCTAAAGGGTTGGGAGACAGCGCAAGATTTACCTAGCATGTAGGACACTGTTCGTTTGATTTTAGTCACTACATGTTCCCCCAAACTTAGCAGAGAGTAATCTGGAGCCCCAACACACCACCAGATATGGCCCCTATTAAAATAATTAAAATAAATGTGTAATAGATTATGTGAAAAAAGTCTATACTTTGCTAATCACCTTCCCCTTAGGTAAGTCAATGATTTTTTAAATATGACAACTACTATACCTAAGGAGAAAAGAATCTATAAACTGAATTCCATTTTAAAAATCTACTTTAAAGAGCACATTAAAAAATTATTTAATTACGATGAAATTACATAGTAATTCATAATTGGGTTTCAGACATTCAGTGTTTCAGTAATAATCGCTGCACTAGTGTTCACTTCCCTCCATCAATGCCCCCTAATTCCCACTTTCTTCCCATCTACCAGTCTGCTTTTAGGAGAGGGGCTATGTGTGTGTGTGTGTGTGTGTATGTGTGTGCGTGCCCACTATAGGCGTAGCCCCCTCCTTGTCTTGTATCCCACCCTCACCCCTATAAAGTGGCATGTTTTCAAAGGACATCACTTTTAAGAATTTCTGAAATAGAAAAATGAAAATCCATAATATCAAATTAACTAGGTGATCTGCATACAACCCAATGATAAAAAGGCAAAGCCTTATTTTAAAATGGGTAGAGAATTTGAAAAGACTGCTTTGCAAAGATATATAAATATTTAGTCCACACAAAAGATCTTAATTATGCCACTATTATGGGAACAAAAATCAAACAAAAATCAAACAAAAATCAAAATCTATCACGCTTCACACCTTAGTGATATAGTTATATATGAAATAACTACAATGAAGAATGCGAAACAATACAGACTCTGGTACTTCCTAAGAAAGTTAGCCATATATTATTTGATCCAGCAATGCTTTGCTAGATTGGTATTTTAAAAACACAAACCTATGCATGAGTGATCCTTGCTATATTGATAATGAAAGCCATAATGCAATACTAATAACTAAAGCATAAAAAATAAAATGAAGTATGATATACCCACATAAATGAGCACCTTTTAGCCATAAAATAGCATATTGTATCACTGAAAGACATAATGATAGTTTAACAGATATATTAACATAAAATATGATACTACTTTAAAACAATGAGCTAATCAGAGACCTCTGGTATGTCATATCACAATCAAGATTAACCCAATAGTGTAACTGGAAACACTGCATTAAAATGGGGTGAGGGGGGGCTGGAGAGATAGCACAGCGGGTAGGGCGTTTGCCTTGCACGCGGCCAACCCGGGTTCGATTCTCAGCATCCCATATGGTCCCCTGAGCACCACCAGGAGTAACTCCTGAGTGCAGAGCCAGGAGTAAGCCCTGTGCATCGCCAGGTATGACCCCAAAAAGCAAAAAAAAAAATTGGGTGAGGGCAGAGCAAATGCACAGCAGGTAGTGATTGTGCCTTGAAGATGATCCCAGGAACCCCGTATGTTTTCTTTCTTTCTTTCTTCTTTCTTTCTTTCTTTCTTTCTTTCTTTCTTTCTTTCTTTCTTTCTTTCTTTCCTTTCTGTTTTTGGGGTTTTTTTGTCACACCCAGCAATGCACAGGGATTACTCCTGGCTCTTCATTCAGGAATTATTCCTGGAGGTTCTGGGGGACCATATGGGATGCTGGAAATCGAACCCGGGTCAGCTGCGTGCAAGGCAAACACACTATCTGCTGTGGATCGCTCCAGCACCCCCCATATGTTTTTCCTGAGTCTACCAGGAGTGATCCATAATTGAAGAGCAAGTAATAAGTCCTGAGTAGTGCTGGATATGGACCAAAAGCAAAAACAAAAAAAACTCAGTTTGGGGGCTGGATATGTGGCTCAATTGTAGAACCCTTGCTAATACATAAGACTCTGGGGGGTTTATTCCCAACGCCATAAAATAATAATTTTAACATCCCACCCTAACAATTGTTCAGTATGAAATTAGTTCAACTCAGAAAAGCCAGAGTACAATAAAAGTATGCTCAATTTTAAATTTACTTATTTTGTCTATGTTCAATGAGTTTTATTTTTAAGTATTTAATATTAAATGTAGAAACCTAACACACATAATGTGCAATTACAACTTCCTTAACATCATCCAACACAAAACTCTCACAAAATTAAACATGTAACAAAAAACTTTTGTTTCAAAATATCTTGCATTGAAATATGTTAATACATCAAAGTGATAGATACCACATTTTTCTAACTGCATAATTCCTATGAAAATATTTAATATGGGGTCCAGGCAGCAGGTAAGGCACTTGCCTTGCACATGCTCAACATGGGTTCAATCCCCTGAGCCCTGTCAGTAACCATTACTGAGAGTAGAACCAGAGTAAGCCCTGAGCACTGCTGGGTGTGGTAAAAAAATATATATATGTGTGTGTATATATATGTGTGTGTGTATAGTGTGTATATATATACATACATATATAATATATATATATATAATGCTTTTATCCATCAATAAGGCAAGCTTCCTGGATCTGGACCACAAAAGAACCAGTGATAAAGAAATAGAGGTAAAAACTTCACTGTTCCTATAATATTGACACAAAACTCATATCATGCTCATTTAATGGATTCATCCTAAAAACAGCTAAGTATCAGATGCAGTGTCAAAATAAGGTTAACTTGACATCATAAATGTGAAATTTAAAAGAAAAATATAAGCATAGTATTAAAGAGGAAAAATATACATTCAAAAACTATATGAAGAAACTATTTCAGCAGTGAAACATTGGACAGATTAGGGAAACCACAATTATACAAAATAAACTTTTAATAAATTCAAACTTCAAAGCACCTTGCTTAAAAAGCAACACAAAAGATCTTGTTTCCTTGCTTTAAACCTCATCAACTTTCCCCATTTAAAATACCAGATACTAACCCAAGCACACACTAGGTAGGACAGAAACCTTGAAATTCATATAGTCATGACCACATCGATCTGCCATATTGTGTGATCGTGAACCTGAGTGAAAGACCACAAAATGGCGGACCACTATAAAACATGTTTATCTTCCGGTTTTATTGTCATTATTTTCCTAAAGCATGAATATTTAACGCAACCAATGTGCAAGCAGAAAAATACACACATAATATTATCACAAAATTCCAGACAATTGCTATTTTTCAAACTATATGAGAAAAAGTTAATTTGAGAACAAAGCCAAACATGCTTCCTGGAATCACCTTTTCCTTAACTACATTTAAACTTAGCAAACAATATTAATTATGCTGGATTTAAGGAGAATATGCTAGCACATCAAAACCCTGCAAAGATAAAATCCTTAAAATCTTCCCCCAAATTTCAGCTTGATTAAATGCAGGAAGTTACACTGCCTATTATAATTTATTACTGAAATTTTATATTAACTCAAATTTCAAAAATAAGATATATCAAGTTAAAATTTCAATTAAGGACCTGGGATACAGTGCAGCGATAAAGACTTGAACGTGTGAGAGCCTGGGTTTGAGCCTCAATCTCCACAACCCAACAAAAATTAAAACCATTAAAAATCCAACAAATGACAAGATTTACCCTGGTGTACAAAATGTACACTGTAGCAGATTCATTCCACTTTTCTGATCACTCTAGTTCTTTAGCAAAGAGTTTACAACTCTAAGCTCTTAGACGTCCAGTATCAATCCAGGTCACCTGACTTAAGGAAATCATTTCTACAGAGGTGCTTTCTCTTCTATCCCAAGATGGGATATCCAGGGAGTGAAAAATGGGGACAGACTCTTGAGAGTGATGCAGTTGTAGGTTTATCAAAGCTGAGAAATGGAGATCAAGATTGTAGGAGTCCTACTGTCTAAATAGTTAATAAATCCCCACTGTATATAGAGATCAATTAAAATGCTAAGAACACAATAAAGTTTCAACAGAATATACAAAAATAAAAATCTGTGACTTTCCTTTAAGCTGTAAGACAGATCTGGTTTGCATCTATTATGCCCCAAGTGCCTCAAAGGATACTTCGATTGCCAAATACCTTACTTACCCTCACCCTTCCCTCGCCCCCGACACTCTACAACAGAAAAACAGGTGCACATTGCGGCCGTCATTCTCGGCATACAAGGTACAAATGCCTGGTCTTATTTTCCTCCCTCCTTCAATTACCGCATGACAGGGTGGGGGCAGCTGGCAAGGCAGGATCTGAGCAAACACTTGTCCCTACCTCCTCCTTCCCCCCACTGTAGCACAGAGGGGAAGCAGCAGGTGAAGGGAGTGGCCGCTAGCGACAGCAGACAAGCTGCCAAAACCCTTCCCCTGCAATCCCCCTCCCAGTGAAACAGATGTAAAGTAATCCCGGCCACGTTCTTACCCGACAAAGGCACTTTGGGGAGGGACAGCTATGCCACCGAGACTGCCTCCTCACCTCAGCACTGCACCACTGTTGAAAGGGTGGTGCTGAAATTTCCACCAGACACACTGCGGACCACCCCTCCCCCACTGCGGCACTGAGTGAAGGGGACTGTCGCCCCCCACCCTGTTGCGCCTGCGCAAGACAGAACATCTGCAGTGGCAGCCATCTTTGGGGAGTCACACAATGACCAGGACTCAGCACAGGACCCCCAAAGCCCACCTTCAAATACCCTCGTCTTTAATAAAATAAAAAGATGGTTTAAAGGACTGACGTACAAGTTTCACATGAAGGATCCCTGGGGTTCAATCCAGGTCCTACCATGGCTACCATGACTCACAAATCAGAAAAAAAAAAGATCAAAGAAGAAAATTTGTAGAGACAATAGAAGAGAAAGCCCTGGGTGATGATGCACAGGTCCTCCACCAGCTGCACAAAGCGAATGCGAATTCAGAGCACCACCACCCCTTCCCCACAAGGTTTTACACCAGGACCACCCAAGAATGGAGTAAAAGGATCACAATCGGCCACGCAGGGGAGATTTGCAGAGGCATCTTTTAGCGCAGGGGTGAGGCAGCGGCTTCCCAGCGCCAACTCATCAGACTCCACCACAGGTTGCCAGTAAGGAGAACAGAAGTTTTCCAGTCTTTTGTTCGGACCAGAGACGGCACCACTCCGCCCCGCGATGGCCCTCTCTCCTGCCACCCATGCACTGGCCACTTGCTGCAGTCCCTCAGCCGCACCACCCCTTTGCTGCCCCCTCCTCGCTGCGCTGACCGCACCCGCAACACCAGTCAGTAGCCCCACCACTCTTACCACGGCCGCGAGGATCACCCCTGCGGTCTCGGCGACCGATCGCTACGCCCCAGGCGCTCCCACGGCCAAGGGTGGTCAGCACACTGGCCTGTCTTGCCGGCTAGGGCAGCGCCCCTGACCGACACCCTCCCGCAAAGCGATGGTCCCTCCATGGCGACCACCAGCCTCCCCTCCCTCCAGTCCCCGCCAGTGCAGTGCCCGGCCCCGCCCCGTAGCCCCTTCTTCTAGCAGCCCGCCCCGCCCACCGGGGGGGTCACCCACGTCCCCTCCGATCCCGGCCTCTGGTCCCGCCCCTCTCGTCCACCAGGGCTCACCCCACCAGTCACTCCTGCCCGACAGAGGGGCTCCGCCTCCCCCGTCCCGCGGGAGGGTGTTATCCCACCGCCCCCCCACTCTGTCCGTTCCTCCTGGACAAAGAGGGGGTCACCCACTGCCCCCTCCTACCCCAGCTCCACAGGTCCCGCCCCCTCCCATCATTCAAGGTGGGCGCCCTTCTGACCCCTCCCACCCGAGCCCCTCCTGTCGGACAAAGGGGACTGATTTGCTCCACCACCTCGTCTGGACAGCTCCCTGCTCCCCAGCCGCCTCCTGCCACCTGACAGGTCGCCGGACGCTCTGGTCCCGCAGGGGTGGGGGTCCCCCCACCGCCCCCTCCTACGTGCCTAGGCTGCCCCACCCCTCCTGTAGCCACAGGGCTGGGGGTGTCGCCCACCGCCCCTTCCTATCCTTCCTAGGCTGTCCCACCCCTCCGGCCGCCCCGCCCGCTCTGTCCCTCCTCTCGCCTCTGGGGGAGGGGTCACCCCACCGCCCCCTCCCGCTCTGTCCCTCCTCTCGCCGCAGGGCTGGGGGAGGGCTCACCCCACCGCCCCTCCCGCTCTAGCCCTCCTCGCACCCCAGGGTTGGGGGCGTTGCCCACCGCCCCCTCCCGTTGCCGCAGGGTCGAGGACGTAGCCCACCGCCCCCCCCCTCTATTCCGTTCCGTCACCGCCTCCTCCCGTTGCCGCAGGGAGGGGGTCGCCCCACCGCCCCCTCCCCCTCCCTCCTCCCCCACCCCTCCCACCCCGTTCCGTCCCCTCCGCCCCGCCCATCCCACCACCACTCCCTTCCGCCCAACAAAGGAGGCCTCGGTCCGCGTCCCGCCTGGGGGTCGAACCACCGAGCCTCTTCGCGGTCGCCCCCGCCATGATGGCCACCTCGGCGCCCCTGCCAGGCCTCAACTCCACCCCACCCCCTCGGGCCGCCCGCGTGCAGCGCCCTCACATCTCCTCGGCCTGCCCCTCGGGCGCTGCGGTCGCCCCGCCGCCCCCTCCCGCCACCGCCGCCACCAGCTCAGGGCCAGCGCTGCCCAGTCCCCGCGTGGACCCGCAGCTCCTCAGGGCCGGGGTCGCCGGCACCCAGTCCCCGAGCGCCGCCAGGCCCCTCCGCCGTCCCTCCGCGGACCACCCAGACGCCGAGGGCTGCTCCCGGCCCGTCGGCTCGGCGGAGGGACAACGTGGCCCCGAGAGGCCCCGGCGCGGACCCCGTTGGGGGCTCCAGAACAAAGAACGCTGGGGCCCATCCCCCTTGGAGGTGACGAGACTCCAAGTTCGGGCCACCCCGGAGAACCACCAGCAGCGGGGCCACTTCAGGGCTACCCCGCACGGCTGACCTGGCCCGCTCCATCGCGCCGCTGGCCGCTCCTCAGCAGAGCGCGTCAGGCATGTCCAGCGGCAGCGCGGCTCTGGGCTGGACTCCGCGCCTCGCCTCGCAGCCTGCAGAGTGGGGCTGAGCCTGCGCCTGCGCGCCAACCCCGCCCCCCACCCCCCCCCAGCCCAGCGCAGCGCATGCGCGATCGCAAGCCGCAGTGCTGACTCGCTGCCGCAGTGCGGACCGCCCGCGCACCACCTGGGGCCAGCCCGTAAGCATATAGTAGAACCGGGAGCCCCGTGGGGACCAGGAGAGGGTGGCTCCAGTTACCACCCGCACCCCAGTCTCCATTTTCGGACACATTCTTGGCGCCCCCAATACATGGACAGGGTCCGGCTGGCTTGACTTGATGGATCAGTGCCCTAGTCTTTGTGCGTGCCAGAGCGTTCAATGCATGACAAATCATAGCCAACGCAAACATGCTAGATTCTTTAAACCTTCCAGAAAACATTTTCTTTCTCAAGCTAAAAAGATGTTGCATTGTTCAACTTCAATAGGATTTCTACTCCCCTTCCCCCACTTTTTTTTTGCGTTATTATAAAACTTGTAGCCAAACAATGACAATGTAATTAAAATTGCCAATAATGAATGACTAGATCATTAAGTAAATAAAATTAGCTGTTCACTTCTTGTAAAAGAAAAAAAAATTGACCCCTTCATAAAGGAAGTTTTTAGATCTATTTAAATTTCTAGGATAGTGAGCATAATGGCAAAAAGTGAGACAATTCTAAATGAAATGGTTCTTTCAAGTAACACTATTACATACTTATTTTCTAATAATAGCCTGTCCACGGATGAAACTAACACCCAGTAACTGTAGCTTCCTCTTATATATAAAACAAGAAAAAAATCCAGAAAGGACAATTAGGAGAGTAAGCAAAGGGAATGATCTGAAGCAACACGTCCTTGATGTTTAAGGAAAGTACATATTCATTATAATGAAAACGCAGTGAAAAGCACATAGTGAAAAATGCCAGTGAAAAGTACATAGTGAAAAGTATCAGTGAAAACTACATAGTGAGAATCACAGTGAAACATAATGTACATAGTGAAGTACACAGTGAAATGTACATAATGAAAAGTACCAGTAGGAAAAAAACGCAAAGTGAAAAAGCTCATAGTAAAAAGGGGGTGGGGGTGGAAGCAGTGTGCCTGAGTAACAGCATAGTGAGTAAGGTGCTTTCCTTGCATGTGGCAATCACCAGTTTGATCCCCCAGAGCACTACTAGGAGCGATCCCTAGCACTGCTAGCTATACTCCAAAAACAAACAAAAGCACATTGTGAAAAAGCACATATGAAAGTACCAGTGAAAAGTACATACTTTATAGTGAAAATTCAGATCCTAATTTTGATGCTTGGTGAGAAACGTTAACATGGCAAAGTCATCAACCCTTGGTACCTTATTTACTTAATCTTCATTATTTATGAAGAACAGTAATTTGATAAATTGGTTAATACACAGAGTTTGATGCAAACAAGAGTGTTTTTAGAGGCTTTTAAAATTTTACTAAGTTTTCCAGTGGTGCTTACTTTGAAGTGTGAGAATTAAGTATATATTTTTATATTGTTAACTAGTCTACTATTTCCTGTTTTCTCCAAGATCTTTTTCCTTTTTGCAGAAAAGCTCCCATGTAATCCTGTTCCCAGCATTCTCTTGGTTATGACATCAGAACTTTATCTTGTTTTCACTTTTTACTGTTTTACAGTAATTGTTGTGTTTAGAATTTTAAAATGAAGTACTAAGATAAAACAAGATCATACTTAATTCTCAACTCTAATGTATCTGATTCTCTTATTGATGCATTATTTATTCTCTCTATTCTGCTCTCCTGAAACTCCAACCAACTCCTCTACAAAAGATATAAAGTCTCATAGAACAAAATATGTGTATAAATTTGTGTGGCCTTGACTTAAAAAAAAAAGTCCTCTTAGATCAGACACTCAATGCAAAAGCAACTAAAGAAACAAGCAGAGATAATTTTGGACTTCACAATTAGGTAAAAGTGGAGACTAGCTAAAACATGAAAAGAAAGACAAATAAAGGAATGGTGAGAAAAGTGTTTGCAAACCGAGTACCTGACAAAGGAGATTGACAACTCGATAAGAAGGTTGTCTTAATGGGCCAAGAGGTAGAATAGACAATTCTCTAAGAATGCTAAAGGTCAATCTGCACATAAAAAATGCTGGACACCATTTGTCATTTGGGAACCGATGCCTCTTCACACCACCTAGGAAGTTTAGAATAAAAAAGACCAAAAAATGCTAAGGAAGCTGGGGTCATAGGGATGTAAAATGATGCATCAACTTGAGAAAGATCGAGAGAATCTAGAGTTTGAAACATTTGAATCACCCTGTAATGTTTGCCTTCATACCACCCTAAACATGCCCAATCTCATCTGAATTACCCTGTGAAGTCTCCAACAATACAATCCTGAATTACCTGGTGACTCACAATTTTCATCTTAAATACAGAACCTAAGAAATCAAAATATATCCATATGCAAAAGACTGGCTAATGAATTTCATAGTGATAGTTATTCATAATAGTCAAGAACTGGAAATAGGGGCTGGAGCAATAGCACAGCAGGTAAAGCATTTGCCTTGCATACAGCCAACCTGGGTTCAATTCCCAGCATCCCATATGGTCTACTGAGCACCGCCAGCAGTAATTCCTGAGTGCAGAGCCAGGAGGAACCCCTGTGCCTCACTGGGTGTGACCCGAAAAGCAAAAAGAAAAAGAAAAAGAACTGGCAGTAACACAAAATCTCTACGGGGGAGTCCACACCATCAGAGGTCTTGTGACAAGGTAGGTTTCCTAGAGAATGAGGATTTTTGGCCTCCACTGTGTGCTGTTTCCTCATCCTAGCCCTAGTATTCCTCTAGCAAGTGAAGAACAAAGAGCTCTGGCTTCCTCTTTAGCAGTGAAAAACTCAGGCTCAACCCTGACAAAACCCCAGCCCACCATCAGAGGGAGCAGGGAGGCAAATCCCACAAGTGGACAAGTCGCCAGTCAACAAACCCTAGATTCTCAAAACCAGATCTTGGGCATTAACCACACCATCCTGGTCCCCAGAAAAACTCCTACTTCTTCAAGATCTGCCTGAATCTCAACATAACTTTAGATTTCCATACTCTTTCAAACAATGCACACAGTGGTAATTTTCAGTACAGACCAGCACTTGACATTTTCTGAGATAACTCAATCTCCTAGGGAAAGCTCGAGAGCTGGGAGGAACCAATAGATACTGGTTTTGACTTGAAGGTAGACTTCAATGTGAGGCTTCTGCTCAAGGGTGGCATAACAATGCAATGCTGAATTCTTGGAGAAATTTAGTGGCAGTGGTAAGAAATAATATTTCTTGAGCCTGAAGTTCAATCCAAGCATGAAATTTGGGGCTGGAGAAATAGCACACTGGGAAGGGTGTTTGCCCTGCATCTTGCTGACCCAGTTTCATTCCCCAGCACCCAAATATGGTTCCCAGAGTCCTGCCAAGAGTGATCCCTAAGCATAGAGCCAGGAGTAAGCCCTGATTCTTGGCTGTGTTCAGGAGACCGCACAGGATGCCAAAGATTGAATCTGTGTCAGGACCATGCAAGGCAAGCGCCCTATCTGCCCTGGTATACTATCCCTCCAGCCCTGCTTACTTCTCTGGAGAACACTCTAATAGAACTCACGTAACCAAAATAAGCCCTTCCACAACATTACTTCTGCACACCTCACTATGTCCTAACTTTGGGCAAGAACATAGCAAAGGATGCCAACTTCTACCCACTCACTGTTCCTTTCTCCCCTGTGGTGCTGTATATTGAACCAAGGGGCTCACTTGTGCAAGGTGTACCCTCTACCACCACTGAACCACAATTTGGGGGGAGTTTTTGGGTCACAACCAGCTGTGCTTGGGGCTTACTCCTAGCTCTGTGCTTAGGGATTGCAAGGCCAGTGCCTTACCAACTGCATTATCTCTCTACCACTCCCCCAATCCATGTATATTTTTAACAGGCTGGGGAAAATGTAAAGAGACTCTTATAGGACAGAAAGAAAGTTCAGAGGGCTCAATGCAGGCTTTGCAGGTAGGAAGCCTGAGCTCACAGGCTAACCTCATGATCCCCAGACCTTAGGGATTTTTCCAAAATTTCATCATCAATGCTTCTTCATCAATTATAAACCCCAGCCCCAGTCCCTCTTTCTTCTCAAAGTGTAGTGGGGGAAGGGGCCGGAAATTCCAAGCTTCTCTTCCTGGCTTAGTCTTTGTGGAATCAAGCCCCCCTCTAGGATCCCAATCCCTGTCTCCAAGTTGGAACAAAAGATGCTTGGAGTCCTCTAATCACTTAGGAATTTGCAAGGGTTTTAGCTCTTTTCAGGGACTGGGTCAAAGATCAAACCAGAGAGAAAGGGCCCTCCTAGTGTTCTTACCACTTGGGAAATTGTAAGAGATTTTGAAATTCATTTGAGGGGAGCCAGGGGTGGGGGGTTGGGTCACACCCAGTTGCTCAGGGGTTACTCAAAACAGGAATTGGGGGACCATAGGGGGTGCCAGAGATCCAAGCCAGGTTAGCCAGAGCATGGCAAGCGTCATCCCTACTATCCTATTTTTCAGCCTAAGTATTTTGTAATTCTGTGCCCAGAACTGTGGTCAGAGACCAATACAGATTTTATCTATTAGCCCTTAAAGCCATAATAAAATCACACACTACCAGTGGCTAATAATTGCAGCAGTTAAGTTGCTAAAACAGTATCCCAAAAATGTGGAACCATAGCACAGAGTGTATTCTTTGAGCGATAGTACAGCGGGTAGGACGTTCGCCTTACAAGCGGCCAACATGGCCGACCCGAGTTCGATTCCTCCGCCCCTCTCGGAGAGCCCAGCAAGCTACCGAGAGTATTCGATATGCCAGACACAGTAACAACAAAGTCTCCAATGGAGACGTTACTGGGCCCGCTCGAGCAAATCGACGATCAACGGGAGGGCCTTTATTATTTATTAGTTTGGAGACTATACTGGCTGTTCTCAGGCCTACCTCTGATGCTGGGGTCACTCCTATTGTGATCCAAGGAACCATATGAGGTGACGGTGATAGAACCCAAGTTTGCCATATG